TGCATTGTCAATACAAGATCTTGACCAAACATTGATGCGCCTCTTGATGGACATAAACATTTATCAAGAGGTGCCTCAATTTTTGGTCAAGGTCTTGGATTGAGACAATAAGAAATACATCTATAAACATATTATATATGTCCACAGACCAATGTTACTAAAGTATCGGAATAAACGTGTAAAGATGAGCGACCATTCCAAGAGGACTAAATAGAGTTGCTGAAAAGAAGTGCAAAACACATACAAACTATTATAAACGGGATGGGGAAACAAGTTGATGGAGCACTACTGCAGGAGGACTCCATCAGTCCATCTGACTGACAGCTACGGCAGGTCAAAGTCTTTCCTGAACGCCATGTGGCAGCTTTAGACAGTCTCCTGCAATTACATCCTGCGAATGAGAGAAAGAGGGAGGCTTTGGGGCTCAGGGAAACGATCTAGAAAAAAAACTTGGGGGATTACATTTCACAGCACAGCTGGCCACACCTAGGGCAAAGAGTCAGAGCGAGGGAGGGAAAACAGGAGAGCGGCCTAGCGAGACTACCTTTTCCTCTTCCCTCCCTTTCCTGAGTTTGCCCCTGCATACACCGACCGAAAATTATACCAGATGTCACTTCAAGAGTGGAAGCCGCCCTTGGTCTGCGATGAAGAATTTGAGAAATTCTGGAAAATATTTATAGAGGTGGACCAGACCTTCTCAGCTTAAGAGGTGGAGGTTAATGTAGTCAGACCTAAATGAGAGAGACTCCCAAAGGGTTCTCTGGCACTCCATAACTCTACCATCGCCCTCCTGGAATGCCACGGATAAAGGAGAAGTTAAAAGCAGCAGCTAGAATTGACCAGAAATCATGAGACCGAAACCTTTTCCTTCACTTTGATCTCCTCGCTAGGTTAAATGACTGAGGGTCAAGTCGTTCACACGTTGTTTTAATTCAGGGTGATCGCTGATGCTGGTGATATCTTGAAGTTTTTAAGTTGAATTCTCATTTCCATTCCAACAAGTAAACAAGAAAACTCTTTTAGAATTGATGCCTCCCCAGAGAGGTACCAGGAAGCAGCTTGGTCAAACCTTTCAGACCGGCAAACCGGATTAAATGTCACTGGTAAGTCAAGTATGCTTCGCATCTGTGAGGTATGAACAATGAGCACACGAACAAACATTTCTACTAATCGCTAACCAAGCAGAAAGCATCAATGTTATGTGTTGCATATTAGGATGAATCTCACAAAGCCTGTCAAAATGAGCATGTCCAAGTCACCCCCCCCCCCCCCCCCCCCCCCCCCCCTCAAAAAAAAAAATCAGATCAATACATTTTTTTGGCACTAGTTTGCAAGACAATTATGTTCATTTCCATTCCAATTGCCATTATGGTAATGTAAAATAAATAGTGCTGGGCAATGATTAATCGTGATTAATCGCATCCAAAATAAAAGTTTGTGCTTTACGTAATATATGTGTGTGTACTGTGTATACTCATTTTGTATATATATATATATATATATATATATATATAAATACACACATATGCATGTATATATTTAAGAACAATTTGTTATTTATATATAAAATATTTATATTTATGTGTAAATATATATATACAGTACAAAAAACATACATTTTTATATACAATTCAATATATAATGGAATACATTAAATTGTTATAATACTAATAAATACATATTTAATAATATACTATATAATTAATTATTATTTGATATATATTATTAAAATATAAATAAATGAGAATAAAACTAAAAAATATAATTTTGTATAGAAAATATTTTTTTCCAATTTAATATATATAATGTAATATATTGTTATATAAAGTATAATGTATAAATTAATTGTAATAATAATAAATACATATTTATATTTCATTTTTAATAATATATATATATATATATATGTCTGTATGTAAACTATTTCAGCTATCAGAGGCATGGGCAGGAATGTGCGACCCACCACCCCAGACGTGGTGGGGGGGGGGGGGGGGGGGGGGGGGGGGGTTGGACGACGACAGTCAGAGACACGCCTCCTTCTCGTTACTATAACTACTGTATGCTAATGAGCGGAGCTGCAGCCTCTCTGCTTCATCTCAACAGGAGGTAACGCTAAACACACAATCCGTCTGGCTGCTTTCTTAAGCTTCATTAACATTCATAATGCATCAGACACACTGCAGATACAATGCCCACAGTGATAAACTACTAATGAGCAGGAACAAAAGCATCGGTCTCAGTGTGGATGCACTGCATGTGTAAACACCAACGGTTGAAGTGGATTCGAATGCAATAAAACAGACAAGCGAGAGCCGAGGAGGTTATCAGCTCCGTGTCTGATGCGGGAGACTGAGTGTGCGAGAGAGAAATCCAGGGAGAGGGAAAGACACTTATCTACAGATCTCCACAACAGATGGATCTTGAAGTGCCTGATCGTTGGATGAACCGCAGCTTCAGCGCTAACAAAGCCCATTCACTGAGAGACATTCTTCAGCCATCCTTTTCAAATGAGTCTCCTCTCTTTCACATAAACCCCCCCCTCCCACGATCACCAAAAACAGGCCAAGCCCACTATCTTAACCATGACAAAGAGCATGTTTGTTTATGTCTTCCTTTTAAAGCACAGCGAATTTAGTGAATTCGTTACAAACGTTTATGCGTCTATATAACAGAACATGTGTCGTTTTGGTTGCATTTAAAAGAGGCCGTAAAACATGCACAGGAAGAGCTGAGGGTTCGTTTTCATTTACGATACGGCGACGAAAGGAAGTTATTAGTCACCAAACTCGCTGTAAACTTCGAATTTAGGACCGCCGTTGGATCGGTGATATTCCTCCTCTCCCGCCTCCACCTGCTCTAAAGCGACATGTTTAAGCCATTCTACTTCGCATTCCTGGGAACAAAAGCAGCGGGACTCGTTCTGCCCCTAAAAGCGGGAGAGAAAGTTGATATGATGCCGTTGCTGGGGTTAAATGAGGCATATGCCAGCTGGCGGGGGGTTGGAGGGTCTCTTCTAGAAGAATGTGTAAAGTTGAGGGCTGAAGTTTGTTAATCCTTCCATTCTGAAGGAGGAGGGTTCGAACTGACAGGCTTTGAGGAAAGATGAGAACCTGACGCTGTGATGGTTTCCAGACATCTGAACCAAACCATACAAACAGGGCACCTATAGCGAATATACTGACTTACTGTAGAGGTATTCCAGGTACAATCCTTCAGGAGTTATCAAGGGTTAAATGTATCGCTCGAGGGCACAATTGTGTGTTGGACTATTGTGGGTCTGAACCTACAACCTTTAGGTTACCAAGTGCACATCTTTAACCACTATAGGCAACACTTTCATCAAGCTCCCAATGTCACGCTGAGCTGGTGAAAGCTGTGAATGACAGCACATCGAAAACTCACATGCTTTCCTTTTAACCCTGTAAAGCCTGTCTTACGAAATAGTGAAAAAAAGGGTTTTGTTGAATATCATATTTTGATATTTCAAGCTTTTATGGTCCATATAGTATGATGTAGGAGATTATGAAAATAGAGCTCATACTTGAGGAGGAAAAAACACTTATTCAGAGGCTTGAACTGAGCAAACAAATATGCAGTTTGGTGCAATTTCTGATATTTTCAGTGCTAAAAAGATGAAAAATTGTGTGGCTCTAAACATATAATGCAATGCAATACAATGTAACAGATATACAAATAAAAGTTCCTCAAAAGCCTGATGTATCACATTTTAGCATGATTTTTCTAAAAAAAAATATGTATGGATTAAGTGTTCACTGTTCATCTTGAAATACTACTAAAAAATATATAAAATATATAAAAATCTGTAAAGATTTCATAGCAAAAAGACACGTAATAGAAACTGAAATTGTATTTGTACAATAAAAGTATGGTCTGTCAATCAAATGATACACGGCATGTGGTAGATTGAGTACAACGGTTTCGAGCAAAGTTTTGAATATGTTGATAATTTAGAGCCCTTGGAAACTTGTCTATCAAATAATGACACAGTAAGCTTTATAGGGTTAAAGAAAATTGGAAAGAAAAGACATGGGCCTGAGAGCAATTTACCGATATCACTGTGTGTCCTCTGTAAGGCAAGTATGTCACGGTCAATTGACTGTACTGAACTTCCAATCTAAATAAACTCTGTCATAATAAACTCGTCAGATCCAAATCAACTGCACATGGCTGTGATGGTCTGCCTAAAAATCGTCTGCATCGCAACTATAAAAAGCTGTGAACGTGAAGTCATGTTTACAGAACTTGTTTTGACTACAGATGATTCTGTTACATGTAAGTGATCGGTTAACCATAATAAGCATGTTCATATGCCACTTCAAAAGATGTCAATAGGGCGCAAAAAGGGCCACAATAACTCCCTCCTTCATCTGATGAGTGAGAAAGGTCTCATTAAAGCAACCCAAATAAGGTTTCTTACACAACCCATAGAGAAAAAACAAGTGGGTTTACATCAACAACAGTGCCAACTTTGCCCATCCTACAGGCTGTGATAAGAGCCTGCAACGGTTAGGCTATTCTTCTGTTTACTAAGATACCAATGCAAATTATGAAACACTATTTGCATTGTTATCTCAATAAACAGTAGTTCATTTTATTCAGCTCACACACTCTCCTATTGGTTGACAGTTAAACCAGTTTAACTTCAATTGTCAGCATTTATTGCACCTGGTGCATTATGCTATACAAAAAACAGTGTACTTTTTTTGTTGCATCGTAACTGTACAAACTTTTTATTTTTATTTATTTTTCTAACATTTGTATTTAACCTTTAGCTTAATATTGGGATCTCAATTACTGCAGAATGCTGTATTTTTGTACATTTTGTGATCAAGTTTGAGATGACTAATAAACAGACAGATAGGCTAACTAACACACACAAATATATATATATATATATATACACACTATATATAAATGGTTCATTGATTTTAGACATAATATATGCATAATACAAACTTTTTGTGTGTTGGGACACTCACCCAGGACAAGGCAGAAGATGTCTAGTGCTATCAAAAGTTTCCTCTTGCTGTTGTCTACGCCGTTGTTGTTTAACGTGGATGTTCCTCCGTTTCTTGTTTCGGGTGCCATCGCTTTCTCATACATATAGTTTTGCATTTGAGAGAGTTCCTCCAGTCGTCTTTCTCCTTTAAAAATCCCAGAGATTCACTACAGCGGTTCGTTTCAGTGGTCTTGTCAGCTAGTACGAGTCGTCTAAAGTTTGAGGGAGTTAAGTTAAGTGTCCCGGCTAAAGTGGGAAGACGTCCTGAAAAGTTAACGAAAACAATGAGTTGTCCGTGGAATCAAGTCCATTCAACTTTGTCCAGTGAAAGAGCAGTCGTGTTGGGTCGGTTAGTGAGTTCTGAGTGTGGTCTAGTTCTACTCTACTTGAAGGTTTGAACTGAGAGGGGCGTTTTAAAACTAGGAGATGAACTCCTGTTTATGAATCCTCCTTTGGTCTCCACCTCCTTTCCCCCAGTAAGCGCTCAGCCCCCTTCTCCTGTCCCGAGCCACGCTGAATGAAGCCCACGGCCCTTCAGCACACACTCATTCACTCACCCACTCACCCACACAAACACACACAGCGAGCTGCACTGCCCCTAGCGGCCACTGCTGGAAACACACCGTAACCACCAGACCAGTTATCTCATTCACATCAGAAGAAATATGAAGAGGGTTACATTGACCAGTTAGAATGTTTTTCTTCTTCTTCAGCAAATCATCCCTTGATATTCCATGTTTTATTCATAAATCGTATAAGTGCGTAACGCCCATTATATAAGGTTTAAAAAAAACACATAGTTTTGACTCACTCATTATTTTAATGGATATAGGCCTAATAATAAATAAAATGGATACATTTGTTTTGTGACCAATTTTCAGATTGTTTCAGTTTCATATTTTGTGTGTGTTAAATTGATGGGTTTTTAGTATATTATACCATTTATCTTGTTTTTTTTCTGTAATCCAAAACACTATATGAACTTTAATGAATCTAAAGTGCAGGGAAGTTCTGCAAAAGAACTAGTCGTTAAAAACGTAAGCTTGGTAGAAGTTCATCTTTTTGTAGGACAATGATCCCACCCACAAAGGTTAGATTAACATCTGACTAGCGCCAGAACAAAGAGGTATGGCTGGTCGACAATGAGCTCTGTCAGAGATCTGACCCCAATTCAATAGAGGATCTTAGACACTAAAGTGTGGTGCACAAGGAGCATTTGACTAACCTGCAGGAAACCTGACAAAAAAAAAACACGAAATAATAATAATGCCACAGTATGTCAAACTATGTAATTTATGTTATAGCCTATATTCTTATTGTTGTAATATATTTATTTTCTAATATCTGTCTGATCCAATAAAATAAATACAAATTCTACAATATAAAACAGATCAGGTCTTGGCAACTCCAACTCAGCAGTGATGAAGCATTGCCATCTAGCGGGGAAACGCATGTAACACACTTGAAGTTTACTAGACTAGCGACAAAAATGACCACATTTTTTTTTATAATCTCAGGCCAAATAATAATAATATAACAGTAATGACCTTTTGCAGTTGTGTACGGCCTAATGGTGGACTTTTCACGTGTGCCATCCATAAAAATCACGGAGGTAAATTAGGAAACAATTTTCTCCATTAAATCACTTTAATTCTGCAGTATATTCTGGTGATTTTGACTGCATGATGTGCACATTTACTAATACGTAAATAAATAATACATTAAATACACAAAGAGACATATTTACTAAATTTGAGTGCAGTTACTTACTATTAATTATTAAAACGCCATTAAAAGTATTATTATTGTTATTATGTTTATTATTATTTTAAAAGTTCAGAATCAAGACTGACTATGATTTTGCCTGATTTTAGAAATGTTTTCAGTTTTCATAATCATCTATTGATATAAATAGCCTAAATACACAGCTGTGAAACGTTGCTGTATAAAAAAGGTAATTTATATATATAGGCTATACTGTATATATATATATATATATATATATATATATATTTATTTATTTTACGTCCTGACAGAATTCAAGGGTTCATTATATAGATAGATAGATAGATAGATAGATAGATAGATAGATAGATAGATAGATAGATAGATAGATAGATAGATAGACAGATAGATAGATGATAGATAGATAGATAGATAGATAGATAGATAGATAGATAGATAGATAGATAGATAGATAGATAGATAGATAGATAGATAGATAGATAGATAGATAGATAGATAGATAGATAGATAGATAGATAAAGTTATATAGATAGCTATAGATATATAATGATGAACCCTTGAATTCTGGCAGGACAGTGTCACATTTCCTTAAAATAGGCCTATGCGTATTTATTTACATTCCTTTTTTAGTCAAAATTGTATTGTTTTTTACTATATGAAGAATTGTATTTGGTGGTTCTATGGATAGTGAGTAAAATGTCAATATGTAAATTCAAACGAAATGGTGCATACATTCTAGTTATCATCTTTAAATAATTAATGTTAGAGTTGTGGTATCATGCTCAATAGTCAGTGAGGGATTACCTAAACACCTCGACCGCCCCCCCCTTCACCGCCAGTTCAAGCCTTATCAGCTGACCCGAGAGCTGCCTGTGTAGAGTTTACAGTTTCTCCTGAAGCTGAATTCAGATCAGCTCTTAGAGGGGTTCAGTAAAGCTCAGTCTGGCTCAGTCGTCTACCTCATGTGTTCAATCCCGCCTACTGTAAGGCAGCCCGAGGACCTCACATAGTAAAATGGCTGAAAAACAGAAACACGAAGGCAGGGTAAAGATAGGACACTACATCCTCGGAGACACGCTGGGAGTCGGAACATTTGGAAAAGTGAAGAGTTAAGTATATTCATTTACTATACGTGCTCGGACGTTGCATGGAATGCGAGTACGAACGTATGTTTTCGGGGTTGTTAGTGCTGAACTTGCCGGCGGACGATGTGCGCAGTTTACGTAGCATGAAATGCGTAGTAAGATCCTCCGCTAACGTCCTCCAGGCGCAGAGAGTGCGTATGCTGTTAGTGAATACAGCGCAGAGATGGAAATTCTTTCAGCACCACAGAAGACGGTGCACTTGCAATCATGTTTGCGTAAATGTTTAGTATCACAACATTTGGGGAACTATCTGGCATTTCGGAAATGTTTGGGGTTCACATACTTACGCCTTCTTAATATTTGGCATTTTAAACATTTTAATGCTCTGTCATCCTCCCTGAATCGCGACCAGGCATTGAGCTGCGCTCTTTAAAATGTTATTTGCATACATTTCCAGCTCCCAAATTATTGAATCTTTAAAACGTTTGTCTCAAAAGTGTATTCTGATGATTACTGTAAAAGTAGCACTGGAGCAAATGTCGTAGTTGGTATATTTTACCTGCAGTGCTGCTTTGACCTTGCAGTAATTTTCTATTCTAAGCGCGAGTGGGAATGCCGCTCATTTTGGGAATGACCTTTCGCACGGGTGTATAGCCCTGTGTTTGAGCTTTGCTCCACATTTATTAAAGTCAAATCTTATTATATAACACGGTCTATGTTGCATTAAAAGAAATGCTCTCAATTATCAGTGTCTGTCTGTGCACATAAATCCGTTATAAACGAACTATTGATTGGCAGTGCCATTTTCATTTCATTTCATTTCATTTTTCATTTCATAAAAAATAAAATAAAATAAAAATAACAGAAATGTTTACCTAGACAGCATTTTTGCCTAAACACAAGCATTCCCATTTGTCTTATGACCATTTCTCAGCTGCGTGTCTGACAAGATACAATTCAGCCCGCTTTTACCATAGGGTTCAACAGTACCGCCCACTTTTCCTGGGGAACTATTTTTCCCATTCATTTTCCCACAGGGAAACTAAACCAACCAGCTACAGGGTGAATCACAACATTACAAACTTTGATTTGAATCAACAACAACAAAAAAGGGAAATCAGACCCTTTTGCAAATCAGACAAAAGTACAAAGATACAAGACTGTGCACATGACAGCTTTTTGAAAATCTTATTTTTAAATGGAATATTGCAGTATTTATTATAAATGTCTTTTTTTAAATGCATGTTCCCTCATATTCTTTAATCAAAATAACATTCCCCCTCCCTCTAGTGACATCTCTTCTATTGATGATGTTCACTTGTGCGAGGGCGGGACAACCTGTCACTCACATGACATCACAGCAATAGCAAACCACAACAATCCGTTGGTTTAATCGAATCCATTCACAATGGACAAAAAAATCAAGTCAAAAATCGTGATTCTCAATTTATCCAGAATCCTGCAGCTCTACTAAAAGAATAGGGCTAGTTCACTTAAAAATGAAAATTCTGTCATCATTTACTTCAAGTTGTTTCAAACCTGTATGAATTTCTTTCTTCTGCTGAACACTAAAGAAGACATTTTGAAGAAATTGAGTTCCCCATTGACTTCCATAGTAGGGGGGGGGAAATAGTCAATGGGGTCCATCAACTGTTTGGTTACCGAGTACCGACATTCTTCAAAATATCTTCCTTTGTGTTCAGCAGAAGAAAGAAATTCATACATGTTTGAAACAACTTGAGGGTGATTAAATGATGACAACATTAAAAATTTTAAGTGAACAATTCCTTAACCACTTAGCCTACTAGCTTAACCTCTAGCTCAGCGGTGTCCAGTCCTGCTCCTGGAGGGCCGATGATGTCTGGCAAAGTTCAGCTCCAAACAACCTGCCTATAACACTTACCTGGAAGTCTTTAGCAATCCCGAAAACCTCGATTAGCTGTTTCAAGTGCGTTTAACTAGGATTGGCTCCTAACTCTGCAGTGTATTTGCCAGGATCAGGATTGGAAACCCCTGCTCTAGCTGATTAAGCTAGTTTGTCATACTGATTAACCTGCCAGGCTGCGATATTTTTTTTCACAGGATGGTAGGGGAAGACTCATGAATATTCATTAGGGAAGTCATCCCTGATTGGACTGATGACCTACCCCCTAAGCCCGCCCCTAAACCTACCCGTCACTGGGGGTCTGATGACCTACCCCTAACCCCGCCCCTAAACCTACCCGTCACTGGGGTTAAGACCAATCAGGGATGAGTTCCCTAATGAATATTCATGAGTCTGATATGAATAAAGCCCTTTAAACTCCCTCCATACTGCATGCTCAGGGTGTCATTGGACTTAAATATCCATAGCGGAAGCACATTTTGTTTTCAAGTGACCCTCCAACCGTTAGTAGACATTAATAGAGGCTTTGCTTTTGCAGCCATTTTTCATTATTTCTTCATGTAGCTCAGGCAGTGAATGCAGTGTCAATATGCACACTAAAAATACTAACCTAAAAATATAGTCAAAAATACTGAATAAACCTGAATAGATTAGGTTACACCAATCAAATTATTTTAAAGGGGTCATATAATGGTACATGCACTTTTACAAGTTGATTGTACTGAAATGTGTGTTGGCAGTGCCTGTACACAACCATCATAAAATGATACAAATCCATCCAGTGTTTTTGTTTTAAT